AGCTGTTGGCACTTAGTAAATTTTTTTAATCATAAAGTGCCAATATTCTCTGTGGTAAATTAAGTCAGTCTCCTTTTATTTCAAAGTCAGTTACTGGAGTGCTATTGTTGCTATTTGGTGCCATCAAGTTGATCTTGACTCACAGCGACATATGTGACAGAGTAAAACTGTCTCATATGGTTTTCTAGGCTGTCACTTTTACGAGCGTAGATCACCAGATCTTTCTTTTGCAGAGCTGCTAGGTGGGTTCACATTCCTAACTTTCTGGTTAGCAGCTAGGCACTTATGACTGCTGTGCTACCAGAGCTTCCATACTGGAGTGCTAAAGGACAGAATTGGGAGAATTCATGGAATTTATGTTGGTAACTATGTTTAACTGTTACACCCTTAGTTATAACTGTGGCTCACTTTCCAAACTATTGAGTACAGCATCTAATAAGCAAGCAAACCAAATCTGGGATTCACCTGAAGGACACTGATGTGTTTTTGCTACCACATGATTCAGCTTGCTAAACCAATGCCTACTGAACCAGGAGTTAAGGGTAGCACAGCCCATGAGATTGAGGGTAGCACATAATGGTAAGTAAGGCAACAGAGGCTTCTATACACATAGTTCTAAACTTTCTAAAACCCCACATCCAAACTACCCAAATACAAATTCAAACATAGAGCAAATCATGAGATCAAGTTCTAAATTAGAGCATATGGAATATAATAAGTTGGCTATAGATTTTATATAACACTGGATCACTGGAAAATGCTGAGAAGTTTAAATCTTGCTCCATAATGCCTTTCTGCCTGGGCAGCACTGATTTAACCACCATTTCCTAGTATAATCCAATCTCCATCTTTTTTGACAAGGAGTAATATTCATAGTATTTTCAACAGCCTCATATGCATGTGAAAGCCGGACAATGAAGACTGAAGAAGAACTGAAGCATTTGAATTGAGGTGTTAGTGAAGAATACTGAAAATACCATGGACTGCCAGAAGAATGCACAAATCTGTCTTGGAAGAAGTACAGCCAGAATGTTCCTTAGAAGACAGAGTGGCCAGACTTCATTTCATGTACTTTGGTCATGCTATCAGAAGCGACAGGCCCCTGAAGAGGCTATCATGCTTGGTAAAGTAGAGGGTCACAGAAAAAGGGAAGACCCTCAACAAAAACGGATTGACACAGGCTGCAATGACGGGCTCGAGTATAGCAAATATTGTTGAGGACAATGTAGAACTGGTCAGTTTTTCATTTTATTGCATACAAGGTTACTATGAGTTGATGCTGACTCAACAGCAACAACAACAGCATTATTCAATAAATGAAATCACTAATAGTTGTAGGATATAATTGGAATGAAGTAGCCAAGTCTCTGAGGAAGGTATGTACGTAGGAGAGCAAAACGGAGAGGAAATAGGATATTACACGAAACTTTATGCCCTCCTTGCTGGAGTTCCTAGCAAACAACAGAGTAGGAATATGCTGCATCAACTGAATAAATTCATTTAACAAATGTTTATTGAGTCAAGTACTATAGTGGAATATAGATATGTAAAATGAATTGCATTAACCTAAATGCATTTACAATCTCTTATCTCTTGGGCAGAGATAATATGTATCAGATATTAGTTAAGTATTATGATGAAGATGCTATACATTAAGTGCTAAAGAAACACAAAATTAGGGAGGGGTAAAGTTCTGACTGGGAGCTCTGGTAGCATAGTGGCTAAAGGCACTTGACTGCTAACCAGAAGGCTGGCGGTTCAAACCCACTAGCCACTCCTCAGAAGGAAGATGGGGCAATCTACTTCCGTAGTGATACTGCCTCGGAAACCCAAGGAGGGGTCACT